CCTAATGTGGCTGTGAGAATGTTCTTTCTTTGTTATCTTGAAACATTGTGCCAATGTTTTATTGACAATATTGTATAAACTGTTACCTCAACGACATCCGCAAAATATCCTCAAAATGTTGCAGATAAAGTGTTCTAGCTTTGTTAATACATCACATTATAAAAACGTTTTATAAAAAAACAATCCATCACCTCCGGCCTCAATGACATCCTTACAGTGCATCCGGAAAGTATTCACAGCGCTTCACTTTTTCCACATTTTATATTACAGCCTTATTCCAAAATGGATTAAATTCATTATTTTCCTCAAAATTCTACAAACATACCCCATAATGACAATGTGAAAGAAGTTTGTTTGAAATCTTTGCAGATTTATTAAAAATAAACAAAGAAGAAAAAAAATCACATGTACATAAGTAACACTGTACAAATGAACAAAATTGAGCTCAGGTGCATCCTGTTTCCACTGATCACCCTTGAGAAGTTTCTACAACTTGATTGGAGTCCACCTGTGTTAAATTCAGTTGATTGGACATGATTTGGAAAGGCACACACCTGTCTATATAAGGTCTCACACAAACCAAGCCATGAAATCCAAGGAATTGTCTGTAGACATCTGAGACAGGATTGCTAGAGGGGGCCGGCCGGCCAAACTGAAAGCTCGGGGGAGAAGGGCCTTAGTCAGGGAGGTGACCAAGAACCCGATGGTCACTCTGACAGAGCTCCAGCGTTTCTCTATGGAGAGATGAGAACCTTCCAGAAGAACAACCATCTCTGCAGCACTCCACCAATCAGGCCTGTATGGTAGAGTGGCCAGACGGAAGCCACGCCTCAGCAAAAGGCACCTGAAGGACTCTCAGACCATGAGAAACAAAATTCTCTGGTCTGATGAAACAAAGATTGAACTCTTTGGCCTGAATGGCAAGCGTCATGTCTGGAGGAAACCAGGAACCGCTCATCACCTGGCCAATACCATCTCTACAGTGAAGCATGGTGGTGGCAGCATCGTGCTGTGGGGATGTTTTTCAGCGGCAGAAACTGGGAGACTAGTCAGGATTGAGGGAAAGATGAATGCAGCAATGTACAGAGACATCCTTGATGAAAACCTGGACCTCAGACTGGGGCAACGGTTCATCTTCCAACACGACAACGACCCTAAGCACACAGCCAAGATAACAAAGGAGTGGCTACGAGACAACTCTGTGAATGTCCTTGAGTGGCCCAGCCAGAGCCCAGACTTGAACCTGATTGAACATCTCTGGAGAAATCTGAAAATGGCTGTCCACCAACGCTCCACACATTTTTTGGCGGGGTTCCACCGGTTAAATTTGCATTTTAGGGGCTAAATATCACGCTATTGGGGTCGCTTAAACCTGCGGAAATAAAAAAAAAACAACCCGCGGCAACAGTGTTAAAGTAGTCTACTTCTGCAGGAGAACCACGGACTTGGCAACACTGATCATATAAGACTTGAGGCTGTAATTGGTGCCAAAGGTGCTTCAACAAAGTATTGAGCGCGCGTGTGTGTGTGTGTGGGTGTGTGTGTGTGGGTGTGTGTGGGTGTGTGGGTGTGTGTGTGTGGGTGGGTTTTTTTTTATTTATTTTTTTTATTACTAATAAATTTGCAAAGATTTCAAACAAGCTTCTTTCACATTGTCATTATGAGGTACTGTTTGTAGAATTGAGGAAAAAAATGAATGTAATCCATTTTGGAATAAGGCTGTAACATAACAAAATGTGGAAAAAGTGAGGCGCTGTGAATACTTTCCGGATGCACTGTATACAAGTAACTTTGTTCATTGAGGGGAAAAAAAGTTTTTATTTCCAGTTCTAAAGAAATAGTAGTTTTGTATGTTTACTCACAGGAGAAGAAGACTCCAGTCACATGAGTAGCTGTTTATTGTACAAGTGGTAGGTCGCCCCCTCATGGTGGCTGCCATGTTCAGATCACATGACCACACAAATACTACTCGATTCCCATTTACAGACACTTTTGGTTGCAGAATAAATTAATAAAAAATAATCAAAAAACTTGTCTGTGACTATAGGATAACTCAATGCAGGCATCAGTGACTGCAAACTTATGCTCAAAACTGCATCCACGTCAACAGATGGCAATATAAAATACAATACCACTGTCGAATCAACAAGTGAAGAAAATTTATAAAACAAAAAAAAACTTTTTTTCATACCAAATTACTATTAATATATACTTTTTAAATAATTAATTACAAATTAATTAGACTTGAGGATACACTATTTCTATATAAAACAGTTTTTTTTAACTAGCTGTGTAAAACATATTTAGACTTAATAACGACCAACTGATGTCATGAATATTTTCGCTCACACTTTATCACACTGGCTATGATTGGAATAGCATAGCATATAGCATGTTCAACATAATATGAACATATACTGAGCCAACTATGCACATTTTCTGTATGTATACCTGTCTTGGAATAAATAAAAAAAAAACATATTTCACTGAGGTAATAGACTCCATTGATATACTTAAACTGAGGTATGTGACAACAAGAATACTAAAATTGAACAATCAGTATCATTGCCTACTGCATATTGTATGGCGTTGAAAAAAAAATAGCGGTCAGTATCTTGTTCTATCAATTCCAGTTATGTATTATGCATTAAACACACGACAATGTGAATCTATTTAGGGTTTTCTATATATTTAGGGTTGGAGGAAGCGCATGCAGTATTACCTGCAGCTTCCACTATGACCAGCAGATATCGCTAGAGACTTCACCAACTCTCCATCTATCTTCTTCATTTTTAGTCCCTGAAGAGAAGCATCAAACCGGAGGTTAAAAACACAAACTATGCTCCAAGCGTAAGGTGAGTGATTAAGTCATATTTCAACCGACAGATGCTTTCAAGACAGGCTACAAACACTTATCCATTTATTCGACAAACACGAGCCCCGCCTTCAACTGCCAAGCGGCCTGATTGGTTAATACACGCGGTCAGACCTGTTTTTATGCAGTCTATGGGTCAGACTCAATATTTCTTTAATAATATTAAACTTGTTAAACCAGTAAAGAGTTCTGATATTTGACATTTTGAATCCTCATTTATCCATTGCATAAATACATTTGAAGAGTTAATTTGCAAAAGCCCCCTGTTGAAAAAAACAGCATATGCTGGTTAGGTATGTTTTGACGCTGGGATGCTGG